TTAGCTCTGAACATTCAAAAAATACTTTTTTTAATTCTATAACAAAAACATTTATTATCAAATCAGATTTTAAAAATACTGTACTACACAATATTTTTAAAAAAATATTATAATATAAATAAATATATTTAAATATAAAAAAAATGAAAGTAGTTTTTCATGAAATTACACATTATATGTTAAGTATCTTTGAGAAGTGTTTAGATCAGTTCAGATAAATGTATTTGATCATATTTTTCCTACCTATGATATGCTCATTGATTCGAAGACAGATATCCTTGGGAGCTTTGAGTTTCTGCCGCTTATCAGCGCTAAACCAATCATTTTGAAGCCATCGCTTGATACAATTTTTGGCCAATATCAAAAAGATATTTTTATTTTTTGTGATTATGACTAGCTTTTGCTTATCCTGATCTTACTCTAATATTTGAAGAAGATGAATAAACTCTTCGATATATAAATCAGTTACACTCACGGAATTATCAGATTTTTTCTCTGCTTCAAAAAAATAGATATCAATAGTTTTCTTTGAAATATATATTGGGGTGGATTGCACATACAGTTTTTGCGAACCAAGATAGGCAAGACGATCTGTCTGGTTATTCTCATAGATACTGCTATGGCCTTTCACCTAGTTGAAATGTGTCTCACCCATTCATGTTCGAATGAGCTTGTTCATCTGATTTACTAGATCACAATTAGCCTTGGGTAAGTACATGGCATAGGATTGAATCACGTATGTACTATCGGTATTGATAAGCAAATCGAGATAAGACACTGTTACTTCCAGAGCACAAATCACCATGTACAACTCGGCACGATTATTTGTTTGTTGCGAACTGGGCAAACATTCCGATAAATTGTGTAGGTCATCATCGGCGAAAAATACACCAATTCCGGCTGTTGAATTCAAAGAACCTAAATATGATTTTTGCCTGTTAATTGTTTTAAAATTATTACAACATCTGTCAGTCCACACGTTTAAGATACTATGTGGATCGATTATCTCGATAAATTCTTCAGCTTGCTGCTTTGAAAAGAATTTCTTATACAAAGCACCAGAGTGACCGTCTATCTGTTTTTTACATTCA